CCAAAAAAGTAAATTAGAGCTAGCAAAAAAGTATCTGAAAGTAGTATGATGAAAAGCATGATTCACCTTCGGCACCACTATTCAAAACTTAAATCCGATTCACTCTGTATCAACGTGTATCAACGTATTAAATCTTGACATAATGATATTCAAAATATTTCAATCTGCAAAATATCTTAAACTTAAGGAAACCAATATGAAACATTCCGAACTTAAGATGTACTTATGTACTTTTGTTGCCGCTTAATTTCATCTTATAATTAATGCTAATATCCTTATACATTTTTGAAAAACACATTGTATGCAATATATATTTGACCACACCTTATCTCATTTTGTATATGGATATATCCTTTATTGTTCCTTCTGTCTAGTTATTTTTTATGCTACTTTGTGTATAATTTGTAGTATTAATGGGTTGCCAAAATAACGCTATTAATATAAACATGATTATTAATATTAAAGAGCAAATGGGATTGTTCTACCATTAGAAGTCGTTCAAGTAATTCGCATCGCGATTTCATTGCCTGGTTTTTAGATACTGTGTAGAATTATGTCATGTCTTTGACAAAATCTTCACATTTGTATAACCCAGTCTGAATTTCGAGCTTAAGTTGAATAAAAGACGAAATAACAAAATATATTTCCCCGTGAGATTGACTTGGTATACACCCACCATTTATGACCTACTGTTAACTTAGAATTGGATTTCCGATGAAAAAATGGAAGTGTTGGAAACTAGCAATTCATTAGAAGTCAATTCGTAATGACAGCTAATGTATCAAGTAATTGAGAACAATATTTTTATTTAATGTCTTATTCGTTTCCTTCATTAGACGCAAAAAAGGGATATAGAAGTGTTTTAAAAAATATTACTGTCATTTTCCCGTAATCGTATCCAACTTGTCATCTATTGAATTAATTTGTATTCAATCATGATTGGATTTAATCCACCGAGATCAGTTTCTTTCAATAATACAAGTTTCCCGCATACATCCTGGAAAATAGATATAGGTCTTTGTAAGTATAAGATAAAGATCGTTGTCGGCGTAATTATACATTTTTGCACAAGTCATCCATTTACTGTAATGGTTAGGGGTATCTATTTTAATGGTAATTACGCCATTTCGGGGGATTGAACATGTAAATAATCTTCAGAAGTACTACAAATGTACGAAAACGCAAGTATGATGCGTTAAAAAGAATGGCGCATCTGTCGCTCTATCACATACATATTCATCGCACATTAACCCGCAAAGCCTGGTTGTACCTATCAATGGTTTATTTTTACCAAGATTTTGATGGAAAACTTTGATAGTTACATGCGGCCTTAAGCATCCAAACGAAGCTTGCCATGTCTAAGTACTATATAGGGATCTTATAGAGTGTCGGGCACTTGTTATTAAATATTTACATGATATGCTTATATTCCAAAACTGAAGAAAGCGCGTTAGTAAGATTAATATTATTGACACGTGTACCCTTAATTTATTTTTCATGAATTTCTTGATGACAGAATTTTCTTTTGGTTTAAATGGTAGTGATTTTAATGACCATAGACCATATGGGAGCTGGTCTACTTCCAGTCCTCAAATTAACAAGGAACGTCTCTCAGGAGAGGCTGTACAGCTGTACCTCCGTTTCTTAATTACCTCTTTTCTTATCTAAGCTAACAGCAAAAATTCGGAATTAGACATTAATTATTTTAGTAAGAAATGTTCAAGAGACATTGGTTCAAATCTAATTGGGATCAATTGGATGATTGAAGTCGTCTTGATTCTTTTAATTAACTGAATGTTCTTACAATGAGATTTTCTATCGACATCATTTGGTTAGGTTTTTAGAATTGGTCATAGTCATCTAGATACCGAGTTATGAAAACCCTACCAATATCTTGCCAAGATTACCGATTTTGATGACAAATGACAAAATGAATATTCTGCATCCTTAAACATTTTTTGATGTCGTGTTACGAAAAGTGCATATTTTTATTTCCTATCTTTAAAACGTTCCACTGACTTTATGAGTTTTTTTTATTTTTCTTTTCATACGGCGCAGAATAATTAGTTACATCGGTTTCAGAAAGGGACAAAATGTGAAATGCTGTTAGATTTACATTTAATTTACAGTTATCGTTTGATTCAGTAATGGGATATTTTCTGCAACTAGCCTAACTAGTCACGGAACACTGATTTGAAGCTGTAAATCCTCTATCACTACAGTTGACCATTCTGTAAAGATTACATCAAACACGTCCTCTTCACATCTTTTTCGTACGTTTACCTTAAGTATGTAAAACGGACGAGAGCGTGAAAGAAGGTTAATAATGGAAGGGAGATAACTCCATATCTTAAACTGTAGCGACTCTTCGAATTTTTATGTTAAAACACGCATTTCATCCTTCATTCACATGGACATCCGACAGTTCCTGGATGCGGAGAACACCGACGTGCAGGAGCAACCTGATATTTCCTCTTTCCAAAGCTCAAGGGGTCATCAAGCTCATAATTCTTAATTTATTTCCTTTTTGTTGTAATCAAACCCTCCCTTCCCCTTCTGCATTCCTATTCACTTTTCATTCGAAATACCGCTCAAAGCATTTCTTTTCATAATACAAAGAACACAATTATGCGATAGAAACACTTGTCATAGTCATTTAGACAACCAGATTAATTTCAAAGTTTCTGTATGAAGTTAACATATCAAGACAGCGTGAAAGAGACAAGGTAAATCCCTCTGATTATTTTTAACCGGAAGCCAGTATTTTCATCAGTGGCATAATATCTTAAATTCTTTAGATTTTGTTTCTGTATGGAAATTATCACTAACACTATTTTCTTTTGAACCTAACAATATTCAAATCACTCTCAAAACATTGAAAGCTACTTATCCAGTTTCCAATTGTTTCACTTGCACTTCGTAAGTTCCTTTTTCATTTGAAGTTCTAATGTGCTTATAAAGCAAAATTTGGTTGCGATGGGCTGAAATTAGATCCGAGGTTCTCAACCTTTTTCAAGAAGCGACCTGAATCATATAGCGACCCTTCAAAGTAAAACAAAGTGTAGTTATATAACAATATCATTCAGTGTCATCAATGTGATGGTTGTGTCTGTTGTTCAGGGACATGTTTTGCAATCAGCTATGTCACCAGTAGTGAACTAATGCTGGGGCCCGAATTTTGTGCCAAGATATGGCGGGCGTAGTTCGACAGTGCGAAGAGTCAAAAACGGGATAGGGAGTAGGGAGGGGCGTCTTGTAGCTCTCTCTGAAGAAATGTTTGAAATCTTGATGTCTGGAGGTGTCAAAATGTTCATCAAAAGTTGATTCTAAACGCATTTGATATGCAGTTTCAAGTTATGATTTTATTTCGTTAACAGGCGAGCACCAATGGTACGATATTGCGAAGTGAGTCATTTTCTTGAATAAAAAGCTCGTAAGCGTGATTTCCAGCGATCTGAGAGGGAGGTCATTCCCCAAGAGTTTTTAAGAATTTTCATAATAGTAGGGTCAACGGTGACAAATTTTCATAGAATCATGCACTTTGTGAAGAAATCACCAAAATTTGCCTAGTTGTTATAATATGTATTCTTTACAATATTCAAGGTGGACCCACCAAAAATCTTTCAAAATGGCCACCATTTTTAAAGATGGCCGCCAAATATATAGCAAATGTTCAGGTTTTAACATTTATCATTATTTTTACACACCTGGTGGTCGATACAGGGTATATATAATGCCCAATTAGATAATAACAGGAAAACATCAAACACAAGTAGGCCTAATGACTTCCTACGGATTACAAAATGGCTACGATCAATAAAGAAATTTGTAATGTTTGGCATAGGAAATGATTTTGAATATTCAATTTGTGGTGTTTTTCTATAAGTATAGACGATTCAAGTTTAAAAATTAAAAAATGGCTTCAGTATGTTAACAATAAGCATGGTATCAAGATTTTAGCATGTCCATCGGGAACAAAGGTCTGATCTTTAAATGTAGAAATTACTCCTATACATCTTTCCAACTAGAATCCATAAAAGTTACAACAAATTCTGCCTACTATCGTTAAAAGTGGAATTGAATGTTTATAAACAAATAATAATACCAGATTTGTCTGCTTACCCACAAAAAGTGCTTCGCGACCCACGTTCGGGTCACGATCCGCAGGTTGGGAACCCAGGCATTAGACTCATTAACTCGGCAAAGAAGATATATTCATAATGAAATGACTTCATAGACATTTCATTCATTTCATTCGTTAAACGAAGCAAATTGAAATTTTACTCTTGCATGTAGAAATATGTAGTCTGCACCAATCATAACATCTGGACTGTTTTCAAAAATCATTCGCAGTTACATAATTTCCAGCTTAATGATCGGATTTTCATGGATGTATTCATAATTCATCATCTTAAATATCATCATTACAACACATAAACATCTTTGGCATTGGTGAGATTTTTATTTTGGCAAAAGTTAAAGAAAGAATATGAAAGGAATAAAGAAATTTGAACAACAACACGAGGCCAAAATTAATAGATAGTGACGCCAGTCAGAAGCCAGTTATTCTTTTCGCTTCAATAGCTAGTATTACAATGAAAGAACAGGTAACGCATTACAATCTTCGCACTCTTGGTAATTTAAGTGAAACATTCTTTGTGTAAATACTAATACAAACTTCTAAATAGTATTTCCGATCAAAAAATAATTTTGCTGACATAAAACATCAAAGTAAAACACGCATCAATCCAAAATTTGTTTTAATGCAGAAAATTTCAAACAAAATTATGAAACTTTCCGGATTAATAACTTCAGATGGACGGTCTCAATTTTAAATGTTTCTTATAAAACGTAATTTATCAACTCATTATTATCAAATACTACTAAGAACATCAGCACAATTTTTAGACTGACCTTACTAACAAAAGAATGGAGACAAGAACCAAAACCAAGTAACAATTGTATTTAATATTGCTATCTGATCAATCTATGTTTGGCATTTAAGCCTTTTTTGTTTTCGACGACGGCGTCGAAGATAGTATTTTAAATTGATAACCAAGTGCTAAAAAGAAAAATGCAGGAACAATCATTTGTTTATAGTCATGAAAATGAATCATAGTTTGTACTGCTCCAGCCATGATGATCATTAATCCAATACAACTGATTTGTTTCATTATTCTCGGTCCAAACAATAACACTAGTCCTAATGTCAGCTCAACACATCCTGTGGTAAATCGGTACAGGCTGCCTTCTGGTTTATATCCAAATAATACAGTGGGACAAGCTGATGCAAAGTTACTGAATGTTTTGTCCTGAAATGGAAAGAATAACATTCGGAATCAAGAGAATGGTTGGATGGTTTGTTGGTAGTTTTTCTCATCCTAGGCTACTGAAAAACGAAATTATTACTTGCTTCAAGTCATCCTGTTATTATTTTTAGGGGTATCACCCGAAAACATTATTTGTCTGTCCGAGGTTTTTTCGGTTGCTGACAACCCTTTCCCTCATCTTGAGATGTAGTATACATGTACCTTTACAGAAAATAGGATAAGCTAAGGATAGACTGGACAGAGTTCATTCACTGGTACTTCGGCCGAACCATTCGCCACAGAATTCATTCGGTCGATGTAGTGGACACACTGGGCGAAAGCTTTAACTCCCATAACAGTAATTCCTCTTCCCTTTCTGCATTCTACATTGCATCACTGGTGGTCGTCATTTTATTGGGCATGTAACGCTTCTGGCGTCTGTGAATGTTTGAGTTAAAGGGAAGTTCGTCCAGTTTTTCCTTCGCTTAAGGCGCTTAAGTTCATTTTTCTAAAACAAGATCGAAACCGCTCTCAAAACCGTGTTTTCTCATTGGGGGTGTATAACTGGACTTGAAACAAGAAACAAGACAACCTTACCATATCTAATTTGAAGCCTGGTGTTGGTGGATAAACTTTAATTCCTCCGGCAAATATGTATACTGCCGCAAGAAATCTCGTTAATACATTTCGTACGGACATTTTGGATAATTACTGAAATTAAAAAATATAATGTACATAGTATGTTCTAATATAATTACAAAATTCACGACTGGGACACCATCTGATGTATATACATTGCCGACTGTCTTGATCAACACAATTGATTATGACAGAATGCGGGTCTCCGTTGCTATTAAGTACGATGTACACAAGGATGTAAAAAATACAAAAAGCGAGTAACGTCCGGTTCGATATTTCACTTATCCATAAACAAGTAACGTACAAATAACCAGGCTTGACCTCTATGACCTTTATGAACAACTTTTATACTACATGTATTGTGAAAATTACATTAAAATTATCAAAATTAAGCATATCCAAGAACTAATTAATGTACACAAACAAGCTTTCAACAAAATTACATTTTATGAAAGAAAACAAACCTTTCATTTAAAATTTAAAACTATTGAGATGGAGATAGATTGGATACAATACATTGTGAAAAATTAAAAGTTAATAAATCTTTTGAAAAAATACAAATCTTTCAGTTAAAAACAAATTACCAATATACATGGTTAGTTAACATAAATAATCTACAATTAACTATTTTCCCTTATTTCAGTGTTTCTGATATAATATCAAGATATATATGACGAAACTCCAGTAGACAATGTTAATAACAACAAAAATTACTTTAAAATACACTTCCGGTAAACACATCATTATTAATTTTTTTACATTGCAGTAGTCTTAATTGTCTGTACAAATCAAATTTGATGAGCTTTGACAAAGTCAAGGGTAATAACTAATGAAACACCAATAAGCAAATTAAGTACCGTATATACCATATGTCCAGATGTAATACTTACTTAATCTGAGGATCTGAATGCAGGTATTCATTCAAATTGATTTATTAACAGCTGTTTGTAATAGCCTGCCATTGTAATTCTTTCCACACCGAGCTCAGTATTTAATTTTGTCTCTTATTTCAAAATTTTGAAAATGGAATTTTCAATTGCATGCTTTTTTTCTTAAAATGTTTTCTGGTCCATAGAAAAATATTTTGGAATTAACACACTTCCCTACGAGAAAATTCCTGTGAATATGGCGTATATCTCGCAATATAAACCTCTTGCAAAATCATATGCGTGGGAGCGTCTGCTTAACATTTTGTATCAGTAACGCGGTTATGTAAAAAGTCCATTAAAAACGCTTAAAAAATATGATGTTCTCCGTATGTAGTGAAGCTATTTTATGTCGTATGAGTGATATATTTATGATGGGTAGATAAACTTTCAAGCATAAGAAGTATGCGTTAGGGTTTTGTGTATGATAACCTCATTCTTTGAAGAAGTAATTCGGATTACAATCAAACGGTCAATACCAAACAATAGTCTCGGTTAACATTAGTGTTTGAGTGACTGGTGAATCGAGATAATGCACTAAATTTAAATAGGTCAATAATAATTTATATTGTAGCATTTCTGTTTCTACTTATCTAAATACAAAATTACAGCTTAGGTTTTCCAGACTCAGGCTTTTTAAAGTAATACCCACGTTTCACATTGAATCAATGTGCAATAGGTCCAATTTTCATCATGTTTTGCTAATGTGTCATGTTAATGTCAACTGTATTTGAAGCGTGATAACGTTGACTGTGTGGCAGGACTATTTTAAATTCACATAAATTTCGTTCTAGTGTGAAGTCAGTTACGGTCGCCTTAAAATATGTTAGTTTTTATCACAGCATAATTCAAATCGTCTTACCTTCGGGTTAATCTTAATCGGTGCAGAAAGTTCAGAGTCCTACTCTTATCGGTTTGTTGTTGTTATTGAATATAGTCCGAAATATTCTCGGGTAAAGTAATGTAACATAATTAATTTGGTCTATACTCTTAATGAGTTGCCTCCCATGAGTAAGTGCCGAGAATTATGACGTATTAGATGGATTATAGTGTTATATATTTGTATTATATCTAGAAGAGTCTGGTTGTTTATTAAGTTCATATTTATGGCTAGTTTAGGACCCAATATACTCTGTTTTCTAAGGTCAGAATCAACACCCAGCTAATAATTTTTACAGTCATTTTACCATCAGATTTTTGAGTGTCAGATATAAAGGTTGTCAAAATTGCATGCGTCGAAGACATACTGAAAAATATCCGTTATTGACATAAGGACATAAAGGTTAATTCAGTGTGAAAAGATTGAGCTGGAACTCACAAGTTAAGGGTTGAAAGACTCACACAGTGTTCATTGATGATTAATTTCTTACTTCAAAATTGTTATAAAGGAATGAAATTCAATACAAAACGAATTGTTAACATAGTTATGTGAAAGGCAAACACATTAAAATCTTTTATCAAAAATCATTTTCAGAAATCGATCAAGAATAAACAAAATCAATATAATCTATCAGAAATCATTTTTAGAAATGTGTAAAATAATTTTTAATGACAAATGTTTGGAATATGAGGGTATCAGGGATTTAAGATTTTTTTTGTTTCATCAAAATAATTCAAAATTTTTTAACCGGTAAACATCGTCAAAGTTCATTGCAACCCTTATTCAAAACTGCTACTTCTTTTACGATCATTCGCATAATTATGTTGTCTTATGGAGGGTAACGGAAACATTGCTGAACACATTTGAAATCTTATCCTTCATGATGTTATATTCATACATTGAGAATATATAATATATCAATGTATTATCCTGTTCCTTTTGAATAATTCTAAAAAACAAAGATATATCGATCTCCACATCAGTTGTAAATACTTTGTAATTAGAGAACCGCATCCTTCGATATGCCGTTTCTGCAGACTGGTGAGAATCGACATGTAACATAATACACAATTGTTCACCAGACAAAAGAAAATTGGGAGGATCCGGGGATATCTTTATACGACCTATGGCCAAAGAGCATAAAAGTTCTTAGTTTTAAATAATTAGATATGAGAATCCGTCTTAGTGGCGGTGCTTCGGGGTTGAGATTCCAAATGCACAAGCGCTGTGGAAGAGCCATAAGTTTTGGCTCCCATGATGTATCTGAGAGCGTTCTCAACCAAAAGATTTTTGAAAATAGATTTGATTTGGTGCATTCTGACACATATTTTGGGTCAAAGTCTTATTTTAAAATTTCACAAAAATGAAATGGAGGTGCAAACCAATTTTCTTAGGAGTCAAATTCTGTTCCCCGCCTGGCGCGGCCACTGATCCCTTTAAATGCCGTTTCTTCAACATGGTGAGAATCGATTTGTAACATAATGTACCATTGTTCATCAGTATTCTGTGAAAAACAAAAGACAAATTAATGATAAACGATAATGATTTATTTTTGTTATAGCGTTTTACATAATAGAATTTATCAGAGTATAGAGTACATAATAAACATGATTCAATAAACAACAAAAATATGTACAAAAACAGAACAGTTGTTTGAGAGCTTACGAATAGTGCAATTTAAAGAGGTGAGTTTTGAATGCTGTTTTAAAAATATCAAATTTACAGATGTTCCTCATTCCAACTGGCAATTCATTCCACAATTTAGGGGCATATATGGAAAATGCCGTACCACCGTATACCGTGCATGGTTCGGTCGAACCTCCTGGTATTCAAATTTCACCCCCGAGAGCTTTTTGTTTAGATTGTTGGCTTTGATACCTAAACTAGGTCACCAAGGTAGAGCGGCACTGCCTCACTATGGCATATTAATATAAAAATAATGCAGAAAAATTTTGAACAAAACACTCATCTCAACTGGTTGCCAATGGAGTTCCCGAAGAACAGGTGACATATCTGTATGACGACCAATTTTCTGAAGAGAACCCGAAGATATTTATACCACCTCTGCCAATAGCCAATTAATATTCTCATGAACTGAATAGTTACTTTGAAAGAAGCATAACTCATTGTGTCCAAACCACATCCCAATTCGTCATACTCGGAGTAAGACCATGTCAATATCCGCATTCGTGATACGATGGGCATAAAGGACCTTTCCTTCAAAGAACGGAATTGACCAACATCGAGTCGATTCAATTGATCACCAATAATCTTTTTAAAAGAAACTTTGTACTCATCAGATACGAATCGACACGTTCAATATTCTCTAATATGTATTGTATATATTGATAACCCGTAGTCTTGAACACAATTAGTAATCTCATAAAAATCCAGACGCATATTATACTTTCGGTGTGATCAACATGACGTTCTCCTGTCTGCCGTTTACCACTTTTGGAGTTATTTTCTTAACACTGCAAATTTTACACCAAGGCAACAGTATGTGTACACTCAATGGTAACCCGTTTCGGAGAACAGAGCTGTTCGATCTACGATTCAGTGCCTATACTCTTTCAGCAAGTTCTCAAACCTTGAATGATTGTGTATCACTTTGCGATTCAAATCTTTGCATATCGTTTGGATATAATTATCTCACTGCGGTATGCTACCTTTACGATAGAAGAGTTTTATTCGGAGAAGATTCTGCTGTATTTGAAGACGGAATGGTAAATTACTGGACTGTCGCAGGTATGCCTACATATCGGACTTGTATATCAGATGCTGGTGGAAGGGCCGGGATCCATATCCGAACCACTTACCGCCTTTCAAAAGCGGTGTCGCTAGCACAAGAGAATTTTCTAGAAACCTTTTGCATTTAATATGGGAATGTTAAAGTCGAGACTCAAAAGAAATTATATCTACAACATTTGTCTGTGACAATGGACATTGAAATATTTGGACACCTGATAGTTTGTTAGTAAATATAGAAGAAACGAAATTGAAAATTGGAAGCCACAGCCAATTAAAGATCTATTTTAATTTTACCCTGCACCTTTTGTTGACATCTCATACTTGTGACGTTCAGGTATTCAACCATATATACGTATATTAATTCCAGAGTCATGCCCGGGGGATTATACATTTACAAGCACAACAAATTTATGTTATAAATTGGTTTATACCAAGCTGAATCATTCGATGGCCAATAACGTCTGTGCTGCTGATGGTGGACATTTACTTATACTTGATTCACCAACTAAAAGGACTTACTTTTTCTCGGAGCATGGTTATGATCGTAAGTATTAATACATTGTCCATTTAGAATGGACATTTAAAGACGAAAATCCAATAATTGCATTGTAAAACAACTTTGCTACACATTTTTGTAAAAATTCAAAAAATATAAAATGTTTTTTTATTTATTTTAGCACCTAGAACATAAAATGCAAATAAATGCAAATTGTCGCCAGATAATGACCAAATGTTATTTTTTTCGATTTTAGTTACCAATTTGCACTTTGATAGGGCGACCGACGCATTATTAGGAAGTCTGTGATTTGCCATTTTCGAAGGTTAATTTATGTCTTGAATTTAGAAGTACAGTCGAGTAACCTAATTTCGTGCTAACCTATTTTTCGTGCATCTCGTAAATGATTAATAATTTACATGTGCGACCTTGCGTGCCCTCCGCATTTGCTTGTTTGATAAACATGGGTTCTTTGTACAATGTCAGCTAGTAGAATGAATCCAGTAGTTTCAAGAAAGGTAAAATGTATTAATTTCTGCTTTGACAAGTACAAAATTGAGGATTTCATTTATTACCAAACGTCACATTTTTTTATCGGCCGAATTTCCTTATAATCCCAATCTGTAATCGAAATTCCATGTGTCGTCTGCTAGAATGTAGTCCAACGAAAGAAGTCATGGGTTCAACTAGCGGATGCAGTTTCAGCAGAAAAATTCTATGGAACACAAAGTGGGCCATATTCGTATGTTGGTTCAATGACTTTTAGCAATAAATTACTCTTACGTTTTACTAATCTTATTTTGTCAAATATGGTTTTGAATCCTTATATGCACGAAAATAGGTTACACCACTGTACTAGAAGTGTACGAAAATTGCATAATCCCTTCAAAGAGACCACAAACAATAATTTTACTCTCTATTTATACATTCGTCTTTTTTATATATGGCAGAGTCTCAAATAAAAGACGAGCCGTCATTTTAACTTTCAAATGTTAAATTCCAAAGTTGAGCTTTCAAAACAAGAGACTGTTATTCAAAGGTATACTACCTCTTAGGATGACTAAAAAACGGAAATTTTTGAACTTGGTTAAAATGAGTCTTTGTTCATCAGTAGATTTACCTGGTTCCAAGACTATAATCCCCTATTATCCAATAAATCTATAAAACTAAGTAATAGTTCATTAAACTAAGTAAGTTTGAAACATGCTTAGTAAGTAAGTAAGTAATCTGGTTTGTCCAACTGATGAATAAAAACACATGTTGACAAATTCTATGACCATTCTAAGAGGTAGTACGCATTGCATTCAAGTCAGATAGTACTTACTTGTCTCCTTCAATTTGGTTTAGCGAGTGACTCGAAAATGTGGCAAAACCTGGCTTGACCAAAATGTATATGTATATAGGCATCATTTGCCAAAGGAGTAGGTGCTGACCCATTTTAAAAATTTGTACTTAACTTTTATTAATTTAATTGCAGTAAGAAATTTTCTGGTTGGGGGTCAACAAGAAGCAGGAGGGGGGTATTGGGCGTGGTTTAATGGTGCCCCTATAACTATATGGCTTTATAACCAACCTGATGATTGGTACACCGAGGATTGTCTCATCCTATATTACTCACCTAATTCAGTAAGGTATTTAGGTCTGCAAGCGGGTATAACCACAAATGATATTGGCTGTGGTAACAGAGCAAAATTTATATGTGAAATACCATTAAGCCCTTAACGAAGAATATCAACAAATATGGAGCAGAAATAACAAACTCTGGTGGCCATATATGTCTGAAAAAGTTACGTGTCATGTACCTCAGTTATCGAGCATGCTATCAATTATAAATTTGAAATACGTGGTGAAAATGTTACGTAGAATATATAGATTGAAATAAACTAACCTCTTTTACATCTGTTTTTTTTTTCCAAGCGGCACAGTGCTTATAAAGACAAACAAAGCTCTGATAATACACATCGTAATGCCTTTTAATATAAAAAAAATGGGCTTGGTTTTGTTTAGGATTAAACACTTCCGAGGGTTGCAATTGGGGTGGTAACCCAAAGTTTCCGAGATAAAGCCGGTTAACTCTAACGACCCAAGAGGGGGTGTTTATTTTACCTCTTAACTACTGGTTTTGGACTTGATTTTTTCGTAAAATGAATTTCGACCGAGTTTTGCGTCCTACTTTTCAGCATCATGCGGGGTGCAAGGAAGGAAGGACGGCGACATTAGCCTGCTCTTTTTCGATTTCCAACTGTCGATGGATCTTTAACCTAAGCCTCGGTCTATTGTCACAACGACTAAATGCTTTTACCATGTCAGTCCCTCTTAACTGCTTCACTGACAGGGGGAAACCGGGTTGAAAAAATCCCAAGGCATTATCTCGAGCTATGGTGGGATTAAACCCTGGACCTTCAGGTTAGCGAACAAGCATCTTACTCACTGAACCACCGCGGCTCTCTTCAACCCAAAGATTTACAGTGCGGAGTTTGGTAACAATGTGGTTTGGGGCGAGTACTACCTCATGCACACTGTACAAGCTGTTTATCTCATAAGTTTTGCTACTTTGAACTGTTTGAACGATTTGTAGTCCTATCTCCAATTTTCTATTATACAGTATTATATTATTTGATAAATAATATTAAGTTATACATTCAAAGATCAGTAAAAACAATTACTTTCAATAAAAGCCAATAAAACCTTTATATTTCCGAATTTGAATACATCAAAAATATCTGGGATACGATCTTTTAAGACTTAATGTTGTAAATATTTTTTATATGACGTATCTCTCCTTCATCACCTTGATCTAAGTGCAAAGTAAGCTGGCTCGTTTTCGGGGCAACTCACGCATTTTGCATTTACTTTGATTTGATTTATTAAAAAAAAACTCTTAGTATCTCTGCTTCGCGTTGGGGGTTTTAGTTTTTGCAATATATGTATAAAATAACTTCATAAATTGTCATATATTACCTTTGCCTGTGCTTGAAGATAAATTAATTGTGATAAGCGAAACACTTTTTGAATCACAATGCCCTGTTTTTATTTGATCGAAAACTAATTCAGTAAATCAGATCAGTTTGTCAGATCTTGTATAACGTTTGTATGAATCCACCTTAAATACTCTTTAAATGCCAACTGAAATTTTTTTAAAGAAAGAAATTTTACAGAATGTTTAGTATTGCAAGCCACTGTTTGATTCTCAAATTGGTCTAATAAATACTTTCATTTGGAAAAATGTTATCTAAAATCTTTGAAATTTTGAAGTATTTTTCGAATTTTTGTTTCGAGCACAAACGTCCACTGAACATTCTTCAAATGTTAAATATATATTTACTGCCTTGTTGAAACATTGTCAATCTCGTGGGAATGTTTGAGACTTCCCCGTTGTCCCCAGGGGGTAAATAGAATCATCTCCGTCATTTCTTGTCTGTTCTGTACACATTATAGTCTCCTTATATGGTCATGATTAACATAATTGAAATGACCCTGATCATCAGTAAATATTTAAAAGAAAATTATCCTCGAACTTTATATACATCAAATAAAATACCAAAAAGAACAAAGGTCATATGATTAACAGTTTAAGACCTTCAAAATTCAGTAATTCCGCTGGTTTGGCAGTCGGAGCTATTTATTGCCCACGTTCAAAAGTTATGATGGAACGGAAATGATTCAGAAAGGAAACGAGAAAGAATTGAAAACCTCATACCTTTATCTCAAGATTACATATTATGATCTCAAGACAACACGGCCTCCACCAAAGGCTCTACTTCCTGCTGAAAAATTAGGGCACTCGCTCTCCTTTCCGTTGACAAACTGAATCATCAACAGAAAGGCAAATTCACCGGTATGCAAACTTTTCTTTGTTTTGACCCACCAGAATCTGTTCCGGTGATGAAAACAGGCAGGAGTCATGAGATGCCGATATAGTCAAGTACCAACAACCCGACGTCCTCAGCTTGTTTTGGCAGGTTCTGGATAATATTGGTATAATCGACTTGCATACTATGGCGATCTCTTAAAAACGAAATGGACTACACCAAATTCGTGATCACATTGGAATATTGAAAACAGTCATCGAACTGAAGCTAAGCATACAAAGCACGAAGATAATGCAGCACCATGAACCCGATTGTTATAAGAAGAACTCGCTACTGATTCTGGAAAAAAATATTCGATAAATATACAGAAAGGGGGATTATCAGGATTGAACCACAAATCCTCTGTTACTGGAAAATATACATAGAATTTGAAAAGGGGAAAAATTGTTACAGCTTTACCTCTTGCACTTGTGAAAAAGAACTCAAAATATTCTACTTTTACTCAGCACCCCTTTAAAGATGGGTTATAAAAACACCAGTGAATGTGGATATATTTCATTCCCGAGAAAGAGAGTGATGAGAGGTTACATTCTCTGTATCAGAATGCACCTTCTGACACTCAAGGGTGCATATTTGGCTGCACGTTACTATGTTTGTCATTGTGTGAAGATTAAAATATATCAGGTAGATTCTTGAAAAAAGGTGTCTAACTAAATTCCATCTAACTAAATTCCATCCACTTCTTTCAGACAAATAAACGAAACTCGCTGATTTATTAACTAGTGGACTGTGGATGTATACGGTCGGCATCCCGAAATCTATTTTAGTCCTATATAAATTAAAAATTTGATGTTAATTCTTATTCATTATTTACATTCTGAATTTCTTGCCCCAAAGTATTTCGGGGTAATTCAATTATTATACGTCAATGGGTTTTTTGAAATAATGCTTCAGTAGCTGAATCTTAAGTTTACCTGCTTTAAAAGTATTCTACCTCTTAGGATGACAAACCTGGTGTCAACTATACAATCTCTCTATAATCCAATAAATCAATAAAACTAAGTAATAATGCATTAAACTAAATGCTTAGACGCGTCTTTCAATAATTATTTAGTTTAATGGATATATCGTCTTATATACAGATTCTGATAGAAGAATCAATCACTAAAAGCTCCTGTATGCCTGTTTTGATTGACGTGATATAACATATTATTATGTGCCCCATTTGCCCTTTTGTTGTTTTTATAGTTGTACAAAGTTGTATGCACTTGTACGTCATTTTGACCTTCAAAATCGATAGTTGTTGGCCAACATAAACTGTCTTTCAGTTATAAACGTCCTCAAAAATGACAAGTCAAACATTACCATAGTCAAGATAAATTCCATAACACGGGTAGCTAATAAGAACACATAGTCAAATTAAACATAACTATCGACGTTTACTTTCTTACCTCTTAATCTTTTACCCTAATCAATACTTAAAGCAATGTTGGTATGAAATTTTAAGGGCTCTGCAGGTGATAATGTCATCTAATCTTATTGATCTTCTGTCTGTTGTACGCTCAGAAGCTTTTACACCAGACAAATTAAAATGAGAACAAACTTTCGTTCAAAATAACTTTTAATTAAAATAAAATATAATAAAAAATACAGAAAGAAAGTTTCTAATTTTAATTAAACTGCTTCTAGACCAATATAAAATTACTAATTAAATTCTCGGGTAGGTGAGAGTTTGATTCTCCCAAATCTGTAGGTCCAATTAATACTTCATTACGAAAATGGAATAAACGGTGTGGATCTGTCATGATCTGAGCCATTCTTTTCTTTGACAAGAATGTAGAGTAGAAAATATTACCATGTTTTTACTGGGAGGTTAATCGCCCTGGGCTATTATCTTGTTGCTGATTGAAACCTCTGAAATTTGGTGTTTGAATACGAGATGATGCTAGAATGTAGCACATGATATCGAAACTACATTTGATAAACGTTGATCGGATTTAATACCTTCAACACCTGGTCCTGTAAACATTTCAATTTGTCTAAATTTTACATTATCCGGTGGTAAGAATTGTTTTAAAAGATTGTTTGCAAATGGGGCACAAATTTCGAGCTAGTAAAGGCCGTTTGCTGGCGTTCTTATAAGTTCTGCTCTTGGTACAGTTCTCTACATGGATCTTATTTTTTACTAAAAGGAGAAAAACCGTTAACGTTGAAGAGCCTCGTTCGATTTCAATTGTGTGCTGCAAAGTAGTCAGAAATGCATTTCGTAATATGGAACACTAAGTTTCCTATCGCGTTATTCACTTTCGATAAGGCCGTTACGTGCTATACTATTTATTGGGATTAAGAAAAAGTTTAAGGTTAAATGAACCGCCGTTCATATCCTCCAATATTACCAAGGATTGAAATAAATGATCCAATCTGAAACACCAGTATTGTCAGTGTGGACAATATCAAACTAGCCACTAATGCCAGTCAGTAGAGTATGTAAATTGATAAAGGCCGAAAACGACCTAGCAGATCGAGACCACCAATTTCGAATGAAGTATTTGTTCCACCCTAGTCCTGCATATTTCCAACAAGTCATACTCTCCTTTCCCTAACATTTAAACAATCGTGTATGTTTCACTGGTTAAATTGCATTATTTATCAAAAAGGAGCATTTTGGTAGGTCACAATTTTTTTTGGATCAAATTTATCAAAATCTAATTCTTTTTTATCAAGTAGATACGTAGATGCAAATAGCATATTTTAGAAATATTTTCAGTATAATTTTCGACGTTTTTGATAATGAGAATTTTGCATAATGCTCCTTTAAATTAATTCCTAAAAAGTTGAGCATGTTGACACACAAAATATTCCTAAAGTGGAAGTAAAAGGAATGTTACTAAAAACCGAGATTCATGTTTT